GGCAGGCAGGAAGCCCCAGGCAGAAGCAGCCATAGGGAAGCAGGCACAGGAGCACACACCCACAAAAGACACACGCTCCCCCCACCAGCCTCTGTCTTACACACACACACACACACAGATTATACAACCTACATATACAACAGAGGCATAAACAAAAGCATTGATACTCCAGGATCTTCCACCCACCATTACACCCAACCTCCTGAGCACTAATTGGGGAGGGTCGAGGGTCTGATTCATGAAAAGGTTGGGGGGGGAGAAAGGAAGAAAAGGAGAAAAAAGGGGGAGGCTGAGGCAGGACCAGGGGAGGGGGCACTTACCTCCCTCAGAAACACTTAGGCATTAGTAGGACCCTCAGGATACGTCAGTCTGCAAGATGGGGTAACGAAGGGGAGGGGTGTGGAGGGGCAAGGAGACCTCTAGCTTTCCATGCTACTCACATCCTCCTCCAGAGACAAAGAAACTCACACTTAATAGAAGGTAGGAGAGCCCCACCCCCTCCTTCAGGCCGGGACTCTGTGACGTCACTGCAGGGCGGGGCTAGTCTCCTCCAGAGCAAAGAAGGAAGAGAGGAGGGGGTTCCTGATATCACGCCCAAAGCAGTGGGGAGCCCTCCCAGTCATTTCTCTCTACCTCCATGACCCAAACAGAATAGGGAAGCGGACCGCAGGTGCATCTTCCACGTGGAAGTGGCCCTGGCGCTGACCAGGGTCCCAGGTTCACGAGGACAGGCTGCTGGGAATGGGGTGGGAAGCGGCAGCAGAGCTCAGCTTGCAGTTCTTGAGGATCGGCCCCTTTATGCAAACTGGGAGGGGGAGGACAAAGAGGGCATGGGGGAGGGGAGGGAGGGGTGCCCTGGGCTCCACAAAAGGGAAGAGAACAGTAGCTGCAGCAGCATCTGCAAAGCAGTAGTGAATGGAACTTGGATTCCTCACAATCCCCAGAGCAGAGAAAGTGTTGGGGGAGGTCTAAGGAAGGGGCGGGACTCAGCCTCTTTTCTCCCGCCAAAAGGAGACAAAGATCTGGGCGGGGAAGGGGGTGAGGGAGATTGGGGCACCAAGGGAGGCAGCTTGTCTGCCCTGGCTGTTCATGTGAGGGTACTCTGGCATAAATCCTATATAATATAAACCTTGCAGACCCTGGACAAGAGGGAGGCACATCCTCTTTTCTGGCTCAGTGTCCTCTACAAACGGGAGACAAAATGCTCCAAATTCCTTGTAATTAGAGAAGTGCACATTAAAACAACTCTTTTCTTTCAGGCTGTAAATCACAGAGATCCGCAGGTTCAGGAACAGTCCCCTCTTTCTGTTCCACAGCAAGTACGTGGAAACTCCCCATTCACCAGGCCCTGGTGGAAACCAGAACAAAAAATCAATATACCATTAAAGTAAAGGACACCAAACAAAAGAGGTGACAAGGAGAAGGGGAGGGGAAGAGTCCTAGACTGTGTCCTCTCTCCCAGCCTCAAGGCCAAGCCAAGGATGGGAGGAAGGGAGGAAGAAACGATGGAAACATCCACCTGAGGGGGGGAGGCAGGGAGTGTCTCCAAAGGCTTCTCCCTGCTGGCCTCCACTCCACTTCACGTCACCACCCCCCAAGCCCCAGACCTCCACACAAAGGCCTGGGAAGGCAGGAAGCTCCAGGGAGAAGCAGCCCTGGGGGAGTAGGCACACGGAGCACCCCCCCATACATACACACACTGAAACATTCATACCCCCCCCCCACAGACGATCCTACCTACGGACACAACACAGGCATAAACAAAGGTATCCATACTCCCAGGACCTTCCACTCACCCTTAGAAACCACATCCTGATCATTAAGAGAAGCAAATTGTGGAGGGGGCGTCCTCGGCTTCATGAAAATTTTGTGGTGGAGAGAAGAGAAGAAGAAAGGGAGGGGCTGAGGCAGGAGCAGGGAGGGGGCACTCACCTCGCTCACAGACACTTCGACACTTGCAGGACCCTCCGGATCTGTCAGTCTGGAAGATGGGGGTAACGGAGGGGAGGGGTGTGGAGAAGGAAAGTGGGGGGGGCACTCGGACCTCCAGCTGCTCACCCCACTCATAGCCTCCACCAGAGACAAAGACTTCCAAGATGGTGAGAGAGGGTGGGTACAGTGACGTCACTGTAGGGCGGGGCTAGTCTCTCAGAGCAGAGGGGGAAGGGCGGAGGGAGAGGAGAAGGCTCTGTGACATCAGGCTCAGAGCAGTGGGGAGCCCCCCCGCCAGTCATTTCTTTCTGCCCCCATCAGCCAAACAGACCAGGGAAGTGGGCCGCAGGTGCGTCTTCCATCTGGAAGTGGCCCTGGGGCTGATCCGGTTCCCAGGCTCCTGAGAGCAAGCTGCTGGGACTGGGGGTGGGGGCAGCAGCTCAGCTCAGCTAGGAGCTCTTGAAGGTGGGCCCCTTTAGGGACACTGGGAGGGGGAAGAAGGAAGGGAAGGGGGAGGTCGAGGGAGGGCTGTCCTGGGCTCCAAGAAAGGGGAGAGCACAGAAGCTGCAGCAAGATCTGCAAACCAGCAACCCTTGAATGGCGCTTGGATTCCTCTCAACTTCCAGAGCAGAGAAAGAAAGGGCTGGTCCGGGGAAAGGGTGCGGCTCAGCCTCTTTTCTCCCGCCAAAAGGAGACAAAGATCTGGGCGGGGAAGGGGGTGAGGGAGATTGGGGCACCAAGGGAGGCAGCTTGTCTGCCCTGGCTGTTCATGTGAGGGTACTCTGGCATAAATCCTATATAATATAAACCTTGCAGACCCTGGACAAGAGAGAGGCACATCCTCTTTTCTGGCTCAGTGTCCTCTACAAACGGGAGACAAAATGCTCCAAATTCCTTGTAATTAGAGAAGTGCACATTAAAACAACTCTTTTCTTTCAGGCTGTAAATCACAGAGATCCGCAGGTTCAGGAACAGTCCCCTCTTTCTGTTCCACAGCAAAGTACGTGGAAACTCCCCATTCACCAGGCCCTGGTGGAAACCAGAACAAAAAATCAATATACCATTAAAGTAAAGGACACCAAACAAAAGAGGTGACAAGGAGAAGGGGAGGGGAAGAGGTCCTAGACTGTGTCCTCTCTCCCCAGCCTCAAGGCCAAGCCAAGGATGGGAGGAAGGGAGGAAGAAACGATGGAAACATCCACCTGAGGGGGGGAGGCAGGGAGTGTCTCCAAAGGCTTCTCCCTGCTGGCCTCCACTCCACTTCACGTCACCACCCCCCAAGCCCCAGACCTCCACACAAAGGCCTGGGAAGGCAGGAAGCTCCAGGGAGAAGCAGCCCTGGGGGAGTAGGCACACGGAGCACCCCCCCATACATACACACGTACACACACTGAAACATTCATACCCCCCCCCCACAGACGATCCTACCTACGGACACAACACAGGCATAAACAAAGGTATCCATACTCCCAGGACCTTCCACTCACCCTTAGAAACCACATCCTGATCATTAAGAGAAGCAAATTGCGGAGGGGGCGTCCTCGGCTTCATGAAAATTTTGTGGTGGAGAGAAGAGAAGGAGAAGAAAGGGAGGGGCTGAGGCAGGAGCAGGGAGGGGGCACTCACCTCGCTCACAGACACTTCGACACTTGCAGGACCCTCCGGATCTGTCAGTCTGGAAGATGGGGGTAACGGAGGGGAGGGGTGTGGAGAAGGAAAGTGGGGGGGCACTCGGACCTCCAGCTGCTCACCCCACTCATAGCCTCCACCAGAGACAAAGACTTCCAAGATGGTGAGAGAGGGTGGGTACAGTGACGTCACTGTAGGGCGGGGCTAGTCTCTCAGAGCAGAGGGGGAAGGGCGGAGGGAGAGGAGAAGGCTCTGTGACATCAGGCTCAGAGCAGTGGGGAGCCCCCCCGCCAGTCATTTCTTTCTGCCCCCATCAGCCAAACAGACCAGGGAAGTGGGCCGCAGGTGCGTCTTCCATCTGGAAGTGGCCCTGGGGCTGATCCGGTTCCCAGGCTCCTGAGAGCAAGCTGCTGGGACTGGGGGTGGGGGCAGCAGCTCAGCTCAGCTAGGAGCTCTTGAAGGTGGGCCCCTTTAGGGACACTGGGAGGGGGAAGAAGGAAGGGAAGGGGGAGGTCGAGGGAGGGCTGTCCTGGGCTCCAAGAAAGGGGAGAGCACAGAAGCTGCAGCAAGATCTGCAAACCAGCAACCCTTGAATGGCCCTTGGATTCCTCTCAACTTCCAGAGCAGAGAAAGAAAGGGCTGGTCCGGGGAAAGGGTGCGGCTCAGCCTCCTTTGTCCAGGCAAGAGGAGACAAAGATCAGGCTGGGCTAGGAGGGATAGGGGGGCACTCAGGAAAGCAGCACATTTGCCCCGATATTCATGTGCGGGTTCTCTGGTCTAAATGCTACATAATATAAACCTTCCAGAGCCTGGACAAGAGGGAGCCACACCCTCGTTTCTGGCTCAGCCTCCTCCACCAAGGGACTTCATACTTTTCTTTCTAAAACTCTCTCAGATTTGGGGTTTTATTCTCTCCAAAACCAGATACCCTCCCATTAGTGAATTGGCACAGTGGAGAGACGCCTGGAATTGGAGACACAAGACCTAGACTCATTGTGTGGCCAAAGGCAAGCCACTTAAACTCTCTAAACTTCAATGTTCACATCTGTAAAATGGAGGTGATAATAATACCTAGGCTGAGTAAGTTACAGGGTGGTTGTAAGGTTTAAAGGAGATGTTTTGCAAATGTCTTTTCAAACCATGAAGCACTATAGAAGTCTTTCTTCTTCTTATCATTATTATTCATCTCTGTTAGTTTTTGGATGCAGTTTACATATCATGCCATTGATTCTTTTCTGCTTAACATTCTTCAGATCACTGCACAGAATTACTGTCTTTTGTAACTCAATAAAAGTATTGGGATATTAACTTCTCTGCTGCAGGCTCCAGGAATACATCTTTAGGACAATTCTAGGAGGAGACAGGACTGTGGGGATCACATGTTCCTCAGGCTGTTCCCCTGTGATCTTCATTTCTTCCCCTAGGTCTGTATATGTTGCAAGCTTTTCATCCATGCAACTTAGAGACTAGGAACACTTGCTATGCTATTAAAAACATTGTTCTTGGGGCAGCTAGGTGGCCCAGTGGATGGAGCACCGGCCCTGAAGTCAAGAGGACCTGAGTTCAAATCTAGCCTCAGACCTACCACTTGACACTTACTAGCTGTGTGACCTTGGGCAAGTCACTTAACCCCAATTGCCTTCAAAAAAAAGCCAAAAAAACCCCCACATTGTTCTTGGTTGTTTTATGGATCAATGGCATGACTAGGAGATGGGGCCAATAGTTTTGTTTCGTGACAAAGTTCCAGTTCCAGTACAATTTGTTTCTGAATTCCCAAGGATATGCTGAGATCTGCATTTGTAACATCAACATTTCACCTGTTCTCCTTGGAAAGATATTGAGCTTCTGAGGGATAATTCCACTTTGCTAAGTTCATGTCTTGCTAAGTATTGATTAGGTACTATTGTTTTACAACCTGCAGTGAAGTGGTGCTCAGTTTCTACCACTTCCTTCCGTGGTCTGTGCTGATTGCTACATATGGCCTCTTTAAGCACAATCTATACTTTCTCCTCAGAATGACCTTATATGGGATTGTCATCAGAAATCCCCTCCATTTCTACAAACGAACCCACGTGACCAGCACGTTTTTCGGGGTTCTCTGTATACACACCTTGTTGGTTGAAATCCTGTGGAATGTCACCTACTGAGTGCATCTGGACTTCACTCTTGGATCTTTGCTACTTTATAGTCTTCCCCCAGAGACTGACCACTTTCACATACACATGGACACATCCAGGGATGAATATCTATTGATTTCTTTTAACCTACTTTTACTATTGCTAAAGGAAGTGCTATATCTCTGTGTTCCACAAGTATTCCTGTCAGTGTTAAACTTGTTTGATATGGACCTTGAGAACATCTCTCAATCCTCTCCCTCCTTTTTAATGAGGAGGTGTTGATCTCTGTGCTTCTTCATTCTGTAGATTTTTGTTAGCATCCTTGGAAAATGTCTGTTTTTGTCCATTTTTGCACAAACAGGAGAGGCCCTTTCTACACTAGGCCCTGTCTAAGAGGGTGGCTACTTTAAGGAAGCCATCTTCTGGGAGGGGGCCTGGGAAGCAGGAAAGGCTCCCCCTGATTTGACAGGCAGAGAGTTCTAAGGGATGGATGCATGACTCTGAGAGGTACGGCAAGGCTGTACCCTGTAGAGGTGGTATTTGGGTGGTTATGTCCATACAAAACAAGTGCCGTATGGAGCTCCAGCCAAGGTAGGCTTCCCCATGGAAAAGGACTCTAAGCATGCTCAGGAGACACCCAAGATTTTTGTTTCAACCAAACAGACTTCCTTCAGGAACAATGAGAAGGAATTCTCACCAAAATACAAGGATTTCCTGAAGGTCTTTAGCCAGGAGCTTCCTCCCGATTTTGTTGCCCCATAAGCTAGCTACTGGGAACATTCCTTCCATGAAGAAGGGGTTCAGTTGGTTTCCTTAAAGGGCATCAATAAAACATTTTTCAGTTAGGGGTTAAGTTACTGCTATCACTATGGATTCCCAAAGGCCAGAGTACACACCGAGTAAACATGCATAATGTCAGAGGGGTTGGAATAAGATATTCTGGAAGGTAAAAGAGCTTGGATTTCAACCAAGAATCAACTACCCAGTAAAACTGAATATAATCTTTCAGGGGGGCAAATGGGCATTCAATGAAATAGGGGACATTCAAACATTCCTCTTGAAAAGAGCAGAGCTAAAGAGAAAATTCAATTTCCAAATATAAGACACAAGAGAGCCATAAAAAGTTGAAGAGGAAAGCAAGAATGTAAGTCATTCACTCTGTCGTTTACATCCCTACAGGGTAGATGACACTTGTTAACTCTTAATAACTGTATTTCTGTTAGGGCAGTTAGAAGGAGTTTACAATAACAGAGGGTCTGAATATAAATTGACTTCGATGGGATGATACAAAAACATTAAAGGGTGAAAAGGAGAGTTGCACTGGGAGAAGAGGGAAGGGAGAGGAAGAATGGGGTAAATTATATCCCATTTAAAGGTGCAGAAGAGCAATTACAATGGAGGGAAAGAGGGGAGACTGCTGAGCATTGCTTGAACTTTACTCTCAATGGATTTCGCTCCAAGAGGGAATAACACATATTCAGTTGAGTGTAGCAATCTATCTTACATAGGAGGGATGCATAACCAATGAAGGTGAAATTCAAGCAATGCTTAGGAGTTATTTTGCCCAATCCTATGCCAGCAAAAGTGACAATCTATGTGAGATGGAAGAATACTTACAAAAATATAAACTGCCCACGTTAACAGAAGAGGAAATAGAATTCTTAAATAACCCTCCCTTAAAAGAAGAAATTGAATGAGGTATAATTGAGCTCCCTGGGAAAAAAATCTCCAGGACCAGGTGGATTTGAAAGTAAATTTTACTAAACATTTAAAAACGTTTCATCCCAGTACTCTATAAACTATATGAAACAGCAGGTAAAGAAGGAGTCCTATCCAATTCCTTTTATGGCACAAATATGTTTTTGACACCTAAACAATGCTGTGGGAATATATACACACTAGTACCTTACTAGTGGAGCTGTGAGATGACACATTCTTTTGGAAAGTAATTTGGAATTCTGTAAAGAAAGTAACAAAAATGTCCACAAAATCTATAAAACAATGACTGCATTACACCCCAAGGAAGTCATCAATAAGAAAAAAAAGTCCCCCATATATGCAAAAATTCTCATAACAGCACTCTTTGAGACAGCTATGAATTGGAAACAAAGTAGATGCTCATCAACTGGGCAATGGCTAAACAAGACCTGGAACATGAAAGGCACAGAATACTGCCACCATGCAGTAAGAAATTATGTGTGTGATGAGTACGGAGAAGTAAAGAAAGATCTTTGCGAAGAGATGCAGAGTGAATTAAGCAGAGCCAAGAAAACAGAATATATACACGGTAACTACAACGAAAGAATGAGATACAAAAAATTTAATGTATGTGTAACAAAATGTTAAAGTTCAAGTGGAACTGAAAAGTAGACAGGAGAAGACACCACTAACCTAAACCATCCAGGACATGAGAGGTCCACAGGTGTTACACATTGAGCGCCTTTTCCCAAATGCATTGATCCATTGTGTTCACGTTTCCTCCCTGGAACAACAACAACAAAATACTATTTGTCACATGACATAGCTCTTGAGGATGGGGAGAGGGAGGGATACATGGGACACCTTGGTGATGTCAGACACAGTAAATATCAATAAAAAAGTCTAAAAAGAGGTCGAGCACTTCAAGGGTAATAATGGAGGCTGGGAAGGAGGAAAGAAAGAGGTTTGAATTAGTGATTATCACTGCCAATTCCAAGCTATACCACAAATCCATGATTGTGAAAACAATTATTGTTGTTGTTTAGTCCTGTCTGACTTCTCCTGACCCTATTTGGGCTTTTCTTCACAGACATACTGGAGTGGTTTGCCATTTTCTTCTGAGTTCATCTGACAGATGAGGAACTGATGGAAATAGGGTGAAGTGACTTGCCCAGGGTCACACAGCTGGTAAGTGTCTGAGGCCAGGTCTGAACTCAAGGAGATGATTCTTCTTGACTTCAGGCCCAGTGGGACACCTAGCTCCCTGGAAAACAGCTAGAACTTGTTAAAATGTGAGAGGTTGATCAATGGAAAAGATTAGTTATGCAATGCACAGAAGCAAAAAATAAAAGAAAATAAATTCATGTTTAATAAATTCAAAGACAGCAATTGAGTCGGGGGTGCGGGGGAGAGAAGGGAGTACACAGTATCTGATGAAAAAAAAACACATGGGATAAAAGAAAAGCAGTTTGCCAGAAATTCAATAGCACATCAACACCTCAACACCTTTTGATGGTTTTTGCTCATCTCTTTTTGATCTTTTCCCTTTCTTTTAAATTTGAGCTCTGTTCCCAGGATGGAAAAGGCACTGTTTCGGGATTCTTGTCCCAGGAGCTGTAGGCCCTCGATGTTTACCTGATGTTGCACTGATGTTGCCCCAATGCGGTCACAAAGAGTCTCACAGGATTGGGAAATAACTGAACAACAAAAGTATACAGAGAGCGATGGCTCTATACAAGAAAAAGAATTTTAAAACATAATTCAGTAGAATGAATC